GTTCGAGCCCCACATCAGGCTTTGCACTGGCAGCACAGAGCCTGCTCTGGACATTCTGTCTCCCTCTCTCTCTGCCCCGCCCCCACTCACATGCTCGCACACATGCGGGCATGCACTCTCTCTCTCTCAAAAATAAAAAAAAACATTAAAAAAAATTTTTTTAAATAAAAACAAAAAAAAGTATAAGGAACTCAATGAAAATGATAGCACCATGACCCAAAACCTGTGGGACGCAGCAAAGGCAGTCATAAAAGAAAGTATATAACAATCCAGGCCTTCCTAAAGAAGGAAGAAAGGTCTCAGATACACAACCTAACCTTATGCCTTAAGGAGCTGGAAAAAGAACAGCAAATAAAACCCAAAACCAGCAGAAGACAGGAAATAATAAAGATTAGAGCAGAAATTAATGCTATCCAAACCAAAAAAACAGAACAGATCAATGAAACCAGAAGCTGGTTCTTTGAAAGAATTAACAAAATTGATAAACCATTTGATCAAAAAGAAAAAGGAAAGGACCCAAATAAATAAAATTACGAGTGAAAGAGGAGAGATCACAACCAACACAGCAGAAATAAAAACAATAAGAAGAGAATATTATGAGTAATTGTATGCCAATAAAATGGGCAATCTGGAAGAAATGGACAAATTCCTAGAAACATACACTACCAAAACTGAAACAGGAAGAAATAGAAAATTTGAAAAGACCCATAACCAGTAAGGAAATCGAATTAGTAATCAAAAATCCTCCAAAAAACAAAGAGTCCAGGGCCAGATGGCTTTCCAGGGGAACTCTACCAAACATTTAAGGAAGGGTTAACACCTATTCTCTTGAAGCTGTTTCAAAAAATAGAAATGGAAGGAAAACTTCCAAACTCTTTCTATGAAGCCAGCATTACCTTGATTCCAAAACCAGACAAAGACCCCACTAAAAAGGAGAACTATAGACCAACTTCCCTGATGAACATGGATGCAAAAATCCTCAACAAGATATTAACCAACCGGATCCAACAATACATTAAAAAAATTATTCACCACGACCAAGGGGGATTTATACCTGGGATGCATGGTTGGTTCAATATCCACAAAACAATTAACATGATTCATCACATCAATAAAAGAAATGACAAGAACCAAATGATCCTCTCAGTAGATGCAGAGAAAGAATTTGACAAAATATAGCATCCTTTATTGATAAAAACCCTCAAGTAGGGATAGAAGGAGCATACTTCAAGATCATAAAAGCCATATATGAACGACCCAATGCTAATATCATCCTCAATGGGGAAAAACTGAGAGCTCTCCCCCTAAGGTCAGGAACAAGACTGGGATGTCCACTCTCACCACTGTTATTCAACATAGTATTGGAAGTCTTAGCCTCAGCAATCAGACAACACAAAGAAAGAAAAGGCATCCAAGTCGGCCAGGAGGAGGTCAAACTTACACTCTTTGCGGATGACATGATACTCTATATGGAAAACCGAAAAGATTCCACCAAAAAACTGCTAGAATTGATCATGAAGTCAGCAAAGTTGCAGGATATAAAATCAGCGCACAGAAATTGATTGCATTCCTATACACCAACAATGAAGCAACAGAAAGAGAAATCAAAGAATCGATCCCATTTACAGTTGCACAAAAAAACCATAAAATACCTAGGAATAAATCTAACCAAAGAGGTGAAAAATTTATATGCTGAAAACTATAGAAAGCCTATGAAAGAAATTGAAGAAGACACAAAAAAATGGAAAACGACTTCATGCTCCTGTATAGGAAGAACAAATTTACAAAGATATAAAAGATCTGTATGCTGAAAACTATAGAAAGCTTATGAAGGAAATTGAAGAAGATATAAAGAAATGGAAAAACATTCCATGCTCATGGATTGGAAGAATAAATATTGTTAAAATGTCAATACTACCCAAAGCTATCTACACATTCAATGCAATCCCAATCAAAATTGCACCAGCATTTTTCTCAAAGCTAGAACAAGCAATCCTAAAATTTGTATGGAACCACAAAAGGCCCCGAATAGCCAAAGTAATATTGAAGAAGACCAAAGCAGGAGGCATCACAATCCCAGACATTAGCCTCTACTACAAAGCTGTAATCATCAAGACAGCATGGTATTGGCACAAAAACAGACACAGAGGCCAATGGAATAGAATAGAGACTCTAGAATTGGACCCACAAAAGTATGGGCAACTAATCTTTGACAAAGCAGGAAATAATATGCAATGGGCAAAAGACAGTCTCTTTAACAAATCATGCTGGGAGAACTGGACAGCAACATGCAGAAGGATGAAGCTAGACCACTTTCTTACACCATTCACAAAAATAAACTCAAAATGGATAAAGGACCTGAATGTGAGACAGGAGACCATCAAAACCCTAGAGGAAAAAGCAGGAAAAAAAACCTCTCTGACCTCAGCTGCAGCAATGTCTTACTCGACACATCTCCAAAGGCAAGGGAATTAAATGCAAAAATGAAATATTGGGACCTCATGAAGATAAAAAGCTTCTGCCCTGCAAAGGAAACAATCGACAAAACTAAAAGGCAACCGACGGAATGGGAAAAGATATTTGCAAATGACATATCAGACAAAGGGCTAGTATCCAAAATCTATAAAGAACTCCCAAACTCCACACCCAAAAAACAAATAATCCAGAGAAGAAATGGGCAGAAGACATGAATAGACACGTCTCTAAAGAAGACATCCAGATGGCCAACAGGCACATGAAAAGATGCTCAACGTCACTCTTCATCAGGGAAATACAAATCAAAACCACACTACGATATCACCTCACACCAGAGTGGCTAAAATGAACAAATCAGGAGACTAGATGCTGGAGAGGATGTGGAGAAACGGGAACCCTCTTGCACTGTTGGTGGGAATGCAAATTGGTGCAGCCACTCTGGAAAACAGTGTGGAGGTTCCTCAAAAAATTAAAAATAGATCTACCCTATGAACCCAGCAATAGCACTGCTAGGAATTTACCCAAGGGATACAGGAGTGCTGATGCATAGGGGCACTTGTACCCCAATGTTTACAGCAGCACTTTCAACAATAGCCAAATTATGGAAAGAGCCTAAATGTCCATCAACTGATGAATGGATAAAGAAACTGTGGTTTATATACACAATGGAATACTACTTGGCAGTGAGAAAGAATGAAATCTGGCCTTTTGTAGCAATGTGGATGGAACTGGAGAGTGTTATGCTAAGTGAAATAAGTCATACAGAGTAAGGCAGATACCATATGTTTTCACTCTTATGTGGATCCTGAGAAACTTAACAGAAGACAATGAGGGAGAGGAAGGGGAAAAAAAAAGTTGGAGTGGGAGGGAGCCAGACCATAAGAGACTCTTAAAAACTGAGAACAAACTTAGGGTTGATGGAGGGTGGGAGGAAGGGGAAAGTGATGGGCATTGAGGAGGGCACTTGTTGGGATGAGCACTGGGTGTTGTATGGAAACCAGTTTGACAATAAATTTCATATATTAAAAAAATAATAATAATAAATAAATTAATTAATTAAAAATAAATAAATAAATCACTATACTCTAAATAAATAAATCTGACATATGATGTGCAAGAACATTGAAAACCAGAAAACATAGCTGAAAGAAATTAAAGAACTAAATAGATGGAGAGATATACCTTGTTCCTAGACTGAAAGACTCAATGATGTTAAGACTGTAACGTTAAGATGCTGTAATTCTCCCCAAGTTGATCTATACATTTAATGCAATATCAGGTATAATACCAGTAGGCTTTCCCTCTCCGCATATATACACACGATTTTATTAAGTTTGTCATAGTTGAATTTTCCTACAATGCTAAAGTAATTAAAAATGTTAAGAATATTTAAAATATGTGTACAAAAATTCATAACATTGTGTAAGTTAAATATGTTATTTACATCAGCACCAGAAATTATTATACTTTTAACTAAGTTTAATTGAAGCAAAATAATTTAAAAAATATTTTTAAAAAGTAGAATTCTTAAGTAATGTTTTAAAGGGATCACTTAGTCTGTGTTGTTAACAACAGTGTTGGGGGTAAAGACTTGGGTAGAAGCAGGGAGATTAGTTATGAAATTATTCCAGTAATGATAGTAGCAGAGGAGACTAAAATGTTTTTTTAATGTTTATTTCTTTTGAGAGAGAGAGAGAGAGAGAGAGAGAGAGAGAGAGCAGGGAATGGGCAGAGAGAAAGGGAGACACAGAATCTGAAGCAGGCTCCAGGCTCTGAGCTGTCTGCATAGAGCCCAAGGCGGGGCTCGAACTCATGAATTGCAAAGTCATGTCCTGAGCTGAAGTCGGATGCTTAACCAATTGAACCACCCAGGCTCCCTGAGACTAGAAGTGTTTAGATGCTGGATTCATTTTGAAGTAGAGACAATAGGATACTGATATCCATTTACTGATAGATTGGATGTGGACAGTTAGAAGAAATAAAACATCAAGAATAACACCAATGTTTTGGCCTAAACATCTGGCAACATGGATTTGTCATTAACTGATGTGAGAAATGCTAGGGCAGGAGTAGGGTGGTGTGTGTGATTAGTGGTGTTGGTGGTAGTGGGGTAATCAGGAGTTCACTTTTACACAGAGATAGATCTTGGACTTTCAAGTGTATATGTTGATTAGATGATTTGGGCATAGGACCTTGTAGTTCAGAGAAGAGATCTGGCACACAGACAGACAACTAGATAAATAGATATACACTGATAATGATTGATTGATACATGATAGATAGATAGATAGATAGATAGATAGATAGATAGACAGATGATAGATGCATTTAAAATCATGAACCATGAGAGTGGGCTGGGGAGACACATAAACTATTACATTAGTGTGATGAGTGCTATCATGTGTGGAGTCCTGTCCCAGGAAGAGGTACTCAGCTGACGAGGATGGGGTCACATAAAGGTTTCACAATAAAAATGACCTTGAAAGGCATCTTACATTCAACAGTTAAAATATTTGAGTACTTACTATCTTTCAGGAACTATGACAGTCACCAAGACATAGGCCTTGCCTCCACGTAGATCATGATCTCATAGGGTAGACGGTCTCACATGCCCAAATTGTCTAATCAAAATAAACACATGGATGTCCAATATTAATCTCAAAAGTGAACTCCTGGTTTCCTATTCCCACTGAATCACACATACCAGACCTGACAGAAAGACAGAGACTGCTGTGAGTGAATGGGATGAATCTCTGTTTTGGACACCTCGTATTTCTCAGGAGGTGGCACCTCTGTTTTCTCCCCCTTCTGACCTACCACACAGGAGCCAAAAGCTAGAGGAAGTGCAGGAAGTGCTGTAGTCTCCCGATGATGTGGTATGGGGGACTGTGGGACACTCTTGCCTCACCGATTCCTAAGGAAATCCAGGATGACTCAACATCTCATCAAACCAAGAGACGGTGGCAAGACTTCTCTTCCACTGATAGAACCCCAGCACTTGGCACAATGTGTCCGCTGCTAGCTAGAAAATACAGGATGGGAAGAGGCATGAATGTGCCCCTCCCCTAAATGGTGTGTGCCTAAGGGATGGGGGCCCAGATACTGTTGTGGCCCTCAGGTGAGGAGGCACAAGGCCCAATCCTGCTGAGGCAACACCCTCCAAGTGTTTTTGTAAAGCATCCAAGAGATCATAGGAGGTCTTATGACAGGCACATCCTCCTGCCTGTGGGAAATTGGGCACAGAGCCACGTAGGAGGATGTCCAGGACTCAGAAGGGTCACAGCAGCATCAAGTGAAAAGCCAAGGTTAATGTGCACACATCCTGGCTTAGGTGGAGCAGGTCCTTTCCATGGTCCCCCACAGGCTCCTACCTGCCCCCAGCAGATGTCTGTCATGGAAAAATGGAAGTTTCAAACAACTGACCACAACTACTTGACTTTAATTCCTGCTCACCCTGGTAGGGAAGTTACAGAATACTCTGAGCACAGGAGTGAGTGTATGAGCCTTCATCTCTTTGCTCTTGTTCAACTTGGTCATGCCAGCCTCCTGCAAGAAGGGGACGAGGATTCTACGAGCATGATTGGAAACTCCCTGCCCTATTCAAATTCCCAACCTGTTGGAGATGCTCAGATTCAAGGGCTCAGTTATCTTTGCTTGTCCATTCAAAACTGTAGTCTCTCTACTCTGTAGGTCTTTGGGTAAAATATCCCCTGCCCCTAAGTTCCTACATCCTCTGCATCTCATCTTCCTTTCCATAGCTTCATCGCTATTTTGGCCTAACTTCCCATTGCCACCCTATCTATACTTGCCCCTCCCTGTCCAGGCTGAATCCCTGGAAGGATGATAATAATATATAAATGTAGTAGTGAAAAACTGCAAGTTACAAAAATAATATTATAGTCTCATCTTAAAAAAATTAATATGGGCACCTGGGTGGTTCATTTGGTTAAGCATCTGACTTCGGCTCAGGTCATGATCTCACAGTTCATGATTTCAAGCCCTGCATCAGGCTCTGTGCTAACAGCTCAGAGTCTGGAGCCTACTTCAGATTCTGTGTCTCCCTCTCTCTCTCTGCCCCTCCCCCACTCATGCTCTGTCTTTCTCTAAAATAAATAAACATTTAAAAATGTTTTTAATTTATAGATTCATTTTTAGAGCAGTTTTAGGTTTGCAGAAATATTGAGCAGCAAATACAGGAATTCCCATATACCCATTCCCATCCTTGGCCACATACAGTTTCCTCTGTTATTAACATCTTGTATGTAGTGTGGTATATTTTTTAAAATTGATGAGCCAATACTGATGCATTATTGTTAACCAAAGTTCATAGTTTACCTTAGTATTTATTTGTGTTATACATGCTATGGGTTTTGACCAATATATAATGATGTGTATCCACCATTAAGGTATCATACAAAATAGTTTCTATATCTAAGAATCCCCTATTCATCCATTTTTCCCTCTCCTCAAACTCTTGGCAACCACTCTCCTTTTTTTGAAATTCTGGTAAAAGATACATGACATGAAATTTATCATTTTAACAAGTTTTAAGTGTACAATTCAGTAGCATTAAGTACATTCACAATGTTGTATAACCATCATCACTATTTCTAAAACTTTTTCATCAACCCAAACAGAAACTCTGTACCCATTAAATAGTAACCCACTATATCACCCCACCCTACCCAGCATCTTGTAACTTCTATTTTCTATCTCTGTCAGTTTCCTTATTTTAGATACTTCATATAAGAGGAATCATGCAATATTTATCCTTTTGTGTCTGGCTTATTTAGCTCAGCATAATGTATTCAAGGTTCATCTATACTGTAGCATGTATCAGAATTTAATTTTTTATGCTAACTATTCCATTTTGTGTATATATTACATTTTGCTTATCCATTTATCCGTTGATGGACACTTGGATTATTTCCACTTTTAACTACCATGAAAAATGCTGCTAAGAAAACTAGGGTGTAAGTATCTGCTTGAGTCCCTGCTTTCTATTCCTTTGAATATGTACCTAGAAATGAAATTGTTGGATCATATGGTAAATCTTTAACTTTTAGAAAAACTGCCACCAAATTGTTTTCTCCCCTGCATTTCCACCAGCAATGAATGAGAGATCTTATTGCTCCATGTCCTCACCAGCATCTGTTGTTGTCAATGGCCTGGATTTTGGCCATTCTAATAGGTATGCAGGAGTATCTTATAGTGGTTTAAATTTTCAATTCTCTAGTGACATATAATGTGGAATATCTTTTGATATGCCATCTGTATCTTTTTTGGTGAGGTTTTGTCTATTTAAAAAAGTTTTTATTTTATTTTTTGAGAGAGCGTTGAAGTGGGGGAGGGGCAGAGAGCGCCAGGGACAAAGGATGTATGATCTGAAACAGGCCTTGTGCTGACAGCAGTGAGCTCATGGAGCCCAGGGAGCCCAGTGAGCCCAGCAAGCCCAGTGTTCAAACTCACAAACTGTGAGATCACAACCTGAGTCAAAGTTGGTCACTTAACCAAAACCCTTCTTTTGTCCATTTTTAAATTGAGTTGTTCAGGTACCTGGGTGTCTCAGTCAGTTAAGGGACCAATTCCTGGTTTTAGCTCAGTCATGATCTCACAGTTTGTGAGTTCAAGCCTTGCATGGGGGTCTGCACTCACAGTGCAGAGCAGGGGAGGAGCCAACATGGTGGAACAGCATGGAAGTTTTTTGTGTGTCTCGTGTCCATGAAATACAGCCAGACCAACACTAAACCATCCTGCACACGTAGAAAACTGATTGGAAGATTAGCGCAACAATCTGCACAACCTGAACCACAGAATTCAGCAGGTACGTGGTGCAGAGGGGTGAACTTGGGGAGCAAGAAGGCACAAGAAAGGAGGTGCTTTTGTGAGTGGAGAGAGAAGAGAGACTGGGGTGGGGGGAGAATATGGGAAAAGCACCATCCCCAAAGGCAGCTGGAGAGAAAGTGGAAAATTGGAAATAGCCGCAGGGGCTAAACTAAAAAGTGAAAAAGGAGAGAGTTTAAATTCCATTAAGACTGTAAACAGGGGGAGCACAAAGGTTGCAACACTGCAGCTCAATACCTGGTGGTGCTCTGGTGGGAAGGGTGATTCCCAGGAACAGAGTAGGGTCCGGGAGATTCTCAGGCCACAAGGGGAAAAACGGTTCCACTGATGGAAGGACATTTGGTAGAGACTGGTAAAGCCACCGTGTCCCAGCAGACCCAGAAGGTGGCCACATTTGCTGGTGCCGGGGCAAGGTCATTAAGAGTGAAGACTGGTGCCAGATGTGTGTTGTGATTTTTCCATAATCCCTGAAACGCTGCTGCTACACTATCTCATGAAATTTTCTGGGGTGGGCTAGTACATGGCCACAGTCTCCGGGCACCGGCAACAACAGGGTTCAGCGGGCGTTTCTGGGTGCAACCGACATTTGGCCATTGCTCGGTGAGACTCTCCCACAGAGGGGCAGAACACGTCAAAGCCGCAGTCCTTCAGAAATAAGGGGCCAGGGAAAACAGCCGCATCTGAGACAAAACTTGGGAGAGAGGTGCTGCCTAGGGCCTGGTCACTGACAGGGAAAATGCAGGGAGTGGACAAAAACTGAAGACAGAGGACAGGTGTGTAACTGCTGATTCGAGAGAACAGAGTTCCGATACTGGAGACTGGGTAGCTGGGTGGCACCATTTTCACCACTCCCGTGCATGCGCATTACGAGCACCACAACACTCCACCCAGTAGGTGAACAGCGCCATCTAGTGGAGAACAGAGCCATTACACTGAGCCCCGACCAACTGAGCAAACCTTGCTATTCAAGAACACAAGTCTCACTGCCTAGTCTATCACTATAAAGCGCTACATAGTCTGACTTCTGGGGGAAAACGAAGTAATTTCAGTCCTATTTCAATCTGTTAGCAGGTCCATCTATTCACTTTTCTTTCCTCTTTTTCTCCTTCTACACTTCTTTTTTCTTGAATACAGAAAGAGAAAAACTTCATTTTTATTTTCAATATGTATTGAAAATAATTTTCCTTAAAATTTTTTACTATATTTTCTACTTTTGTGTAAAATTTTTCAAATTCTATTTTACTTCCATCAATTTATTTTACTACTTGTGTATTTACCTTTTCAAATTTTCAAGCAATTTGCTTTTTTCTCTTCTTTTTTTTTTGTTTCTCTTTTTCTTGAATGCAGAAAGGGAAAAGCTTCATTTTTACTTTCAATTTCTTTTTTTTTTAATGTTTATTCATTTTTGACAGAGAGAGAGAGAGAGAGAGAGAGACAGAGCATGAGTGGGGGAGGGGCAGAGAGAGAGAGAGAGACATAGAATCTGAAACAGGCTCCAGGCTCTGAGCTCTCAACATAGAGCTCAACGTGGGGCTCGAACTCACAGACTGCGAGATCCTGACCTGAGCCAAAGTCGGACGCTCAACCGACTGAGCCACCCAGGCGCCCCTTACTTTCAATTTCTATTCAAAATATTTTTCTTTAATTTTTTTCACTATACTTTTTGCTTTTATGTAAATTTTCCAAACGCTATTTTGCTTCCATATTATTTTAGTCTACTTCAGTGTATACATTTTTTCAAATTCTCAAACAATTTCCTCCCCCCCCTTTCTTATCTCTAATCTGTCAAATCACTTTCAACATCCCGACCAAAACACAACTAGGATCTAGCATCATTTATTCGATTTTGTGTGTGTGTGTTTAATTTTTTAATTTTAATATTTTTTAATTGTAATTTTTCTACATCTAATTCCCTTTCTCCCTTCAAACTGACAAAATGAAGGAATCCACCCCAAAAGAAAGAGCACAAATAAATGACAGCCAGGGATTTAACCAACACAGATACAAGCAAGATGTCTGAACCAGAATTTAGACTCATGATAATAAGAATACTAGCTGGAGTCAAAATAGATTAGAATCCCTTTCTGCAGAGATAAAAGAAAAAATAGGGGCGCCTGGGTGGCGCAGTCGGTTAAGCGTCCGACTTCAGCCAGGTCACGATCTCGCGGTCCGTGGGTTCGAGCCCCGCGTCGGGCTCTGGGCTGATGGCTCAGAGCCTGGAGCCTGTTTCCGATTCTGTGTCTCCCTCTCTCTCTGCCCCTCGCCCGTTCATGCTCTGTCTCTCTCTGTCCCAAAAATAAAAAAAATAAAACTTAAAAAAAAAAAAAAGAAAAAAAGAAAAAATAGAATGAAATTAAAAATGCTATAACTGAGATGCAATCACGGATGGATGCAGCAGCAGCAAGGATGGATGAGGCAGAACAGAGAACCAGCTATATAGAGGACAAACTTATAGAGAATAATGAAGCAGAAAAAAAGAGGGAGATTAAGGCAAAAGACCACGATTTAAGAATCAGAGAAAACAGTCACTCGTTAAAAAGGAACACCATCAGAATCACAGGTATCCCAGAGGAGGAAGAGAAAAGGGGTAGAAGGGTTATGTGAGCAAATCATAGCAGAAAACTTTCCTAACCTGGGGAAAGACACAGACATCAAAATCCAGGAAGCATAGAGGACCCCCATTAGATTCAACAAAAACTGACCATCAACAAGGCATATCATAGTCAAATTCACAAAATACTCAGGAAAGGAGAAAATCATGAAAGCAGCAGGGGAAAAAAGTCCCTAACCTACAAAGGAAGACAGATCAGGTTTGCAGCAGACCTATCCACAGAAACTTGGCAGGCCAGAAAGGAGTGGCAGGATATAATAAATGTGCTGAATCAGAAAAATATGCAGCCAAGAATTCTTTATCCAGCAAGGCTGTCATTCAAAATAGAAGGAGATTAAAAGTTTCCCAGACAAACAAAAATTAAAGGAGTTTGTGACCACTAAACCACTGTGACCACTGGGACTCTCTGAGGGGAGAAAAGATGAAAATATATATATCAAAAGCAGCAAAAGATTAGAAAGCACCAGAGAACACCACCAGAAACTCCAACTCTACAAGCATCATACTGGCAATAAATTCATATCTTTCAGTACTCTAAACGTCAATGGACTCAATGCTCCAATCAAAAGACATAGGGTAACAGAATGGATAAGAAAACAAGATCCATCTATATGCTGTTTACAAGAGACCCACTTTAGACCTAAAGACACCTACAGAGTGAAAATAAGGGGATGGAGAACTATCTATGAAGCTAATGGTCAACAAAAGAAAGCTGGAGTAGCCATACTTATATCAGACAATCTAGACTTTAAAATAAAGACTGTATCAAGAGATGCAGAAGGGCATTATATCATAATCAAGGGGTCTATAGACCAAGAAGACCTAACAATTGTACACATTGAGGCGCCAAATGTGGAAGTACCCAGATATATAGATCAATTAATCACAAACATAAAGAAACTCATCAATAGTAATACCATAATAGTAGGAGACTTCAACACCCCACTCACAGCAATGGACAGATCATCTAATCAAAAAATCAACAAGGAAACAATGGCTTTGAATGACACACTGGACCAGATGGACTTAACAGATATACTCAGAACATTTCATCCTAAAACAGCAGAATATACATTCTTCTCCAGTGCACATGGAACGTTCTCCAGAATAGACCATATACTCAGACACAAATCAGCCCTAAGTGAGTACAAAAGGATCGAGATCATACCGTGCATATTTTCAGACCACAATGCTATAAAACTCGAAATCAACCACAAGAAAAAATTTGGAAAGGTAACAAATACTTGGAGACTGAAGAACATCCTACTAAAGAATGAATGGGCTAACCAAGAAGTTAAAGAGGAAATTAAAAAGTATATGGAAGTCAATGAAAATGATAGCACCACAACCCAAAACCTCTGGGACGCAGCAAAGGCGGTCATAAGAGGAAAGTATATAGCAATCCAGGCCTTCCTGAAGAAGGAAGAAAGATCTCAGATACACAACCTAACCTTATGCCTTAAGGAGCTGGAAAAATAACAGCAAATAAAACCCAAAACCAGCAGAAGACAGGAAATAATAAAGATTAGAGCAGAAATTAATGCTATCGAAACAACAACGACAACAACAACAAAAACAGTAGAACAGATCAACGAAACCAGAAGCTGGTTCTTTGAAAGAGTTAACAAAATTGATAAACCACTAGCCAGTTTGATCAAAAAGAAAAAGGCAAGGATCCAAATAAATAAAATCACGAATGAAAGAGGAGAGATCACAGCCAACACAGCAGAAATAAAAACAATAATAAGAGAATATTATGAGCAATTGTATGCCAATAAAATGGGCAATCTGGAAGAAATGGACAAATTTCTAGAAACATATACACTACCAAAACTGAAATAGGAAGAAAGTAGAAATTTTGAACAGGCCCATAACCAGTAAAGAAATTGAATTAGTAATCAAAAATCTGCCAAAAAAGCAGAGTCCAGGGCCAGATGGCTTTCCAGGGCAATTCCACCAAACATTAAGGAAGAGCTAACACCTATTCTCTTGAAGCTGTTCCAAAAAAAAGAAATGGAAGGAAAGCTTCCAAACTCTTTCTATGAAGCCAGCATTACCTTGATTCCAAAACCACAGAGACCCCACTAAAAAGGAGAACTAAGACCAATTTCCCTGATGAACATGGATGCAAAAATCCTCAACAAGATATTAGCCAACCGGATCCAACCACACATTAAAAAAATTATTCACCACGACCAGGTGGGATTTATACCTGGGATGCAGGGCTGGTTCAATATCTGCAAAACAATTAACGTGATTCATCACATCAATAAAAGAAAGGAAAAGAACCATATGACCCTCTCAATAGATGCAGAGAAAGAATTTGACAAAATACAGCATCCCTTCTTGATAAAAACCCTCAAGAAAGTAGGGATAGAAAGAACATACCTTGAGATCATAAAAGCCATATATAAATGACCCAATGCTAATATCATCCTCAGTGAGGAAAAACTGAGAGCTCTCCCCTAAGGTCAGGAACAAGGCAGGGATGTCCACTCTCACTACCATTACTCAACATAGTATTGGAAGTCTTAGCCTCTGCAATCAGACAACACAAAGAAATAAAAGGCATCCAAGTCAGCCAGGAGGAGACCAAACTTTCAAACTGGACATTGGCATGCAGAAGAATGAACCTGGACCACTTTCTTACACCATACATAAAAATAAACTCAAAATGGATGAAAGACCTCAATTTAAGACAGGAAGCCATCAAAATCCTCAAGGAGAAAGCAGGCAAAAAAAAAAAAAAAAAACCCAAAGGAAAAAGAGGGAAAAAAACCCCCCCCCCAAAAAAAAAACAAAAAAACAAAAAAAAGTTGGCTGCAGCAACTTATTACTCAACACGTCTCCAAAGGCAAGGGACAAAAGCAAAAATGAACCACTGGGACCTCATCAAAATAAAAAGCTTCTGCACGGCGAAGAAAACAATCAGCAAAACTAAAAGGCAACCGACAGAATGGGAGAAGATATTTGCAAATGACATATCAGATAAAGAGTATCCAAAAATCTATAAAGAACTTATCAAACTCAACACCCAAAAAATGAATAATCCAGTGAAGAAATGGGCAAAAGACATTAATAGACACTTCTCCAAAGAAGACATCCAGATGGCCAACCGACGCACAAAAAAATGCTCCACATCACTCATCATCAGGGAAATACAAATCAAAACCACAATGAGATACCACCTTACACCTGTCAGAATGACTAACATTAACAAGTCAGGCAACAACA